ATTTTTGCAAATATTTCATTATATCTTTTCATGGGACAACACTATAGAAATGACACTTTGATATAACTTAAAGTAGTCAGTGTACAGCTTGTATAGTAGTATAAATTTACCTTCCTCTAAAAATTACTTAATACACAGCCATCAACATCTAAACAGCTGGCAACATAAGTGAGTACACCCCACAGTGAACATGTCCAAATTGTGCCTAAAGTGTCAATATTTTGTGTGCCAACCATTATCATCTAGCACTGCCTTAACCCTTTTGGGCATGGAATTCACCAGAGCTCACAGGTTGCTTCAGGAATCCTCTCCCACTCGTCCATGATGACATCATGGAGCAGATGGATGTGAAGACACCTTGCGCTCCTCCACCTTCAGCTTGAGGATGGCCCACAGGTGCACAGGTGAGTTTAGGGCTGGATACATACTTGGCCAGTCCATCACCTTCACAAAATGGGAGGGGTGTACTCACTTATGTGAGATACTGTACATATATATATATATATATATATATATGTATATAATCTAAATAAATTTTCAGGAGCCATACCATAGAGGGTTAAACACCCAGTCCTGTGTGTTTGGGACTCTGCAGAACATGGGATTGGTGTAATGCTTGTTAAACACATGTACTCCACCTTGCGCAGTGAAGGCTCCACACCACCATGGTAGATGCGCAGCCTAAGCTCCTCAGGTCGTGTCAACTGGCCCTGTCCATTGAGGTAACTGTGAAACTCAGCGTCGCTCAGAGGGGGCTTGAAAGGCTTAATCTCTTCTCCATAAGACCAGGTGAAGGCTTGCTGGACTCTGGACAGGGTGCGGCCCACCTGAACACCAGTGAAACAAGCATGTAAGCAAAAAAACCCTGACTGATCAAGGGTAGAAGGTAAAAGAGTCTGTATGAGGAGGGTTTAAGAAGGTGAAGTAACCTGGGACAGTAGAGACTGGGTGAAGGGAAGAGCTGCAGATGCCAAAGACTTAGTCCTCTCTGCAAGAAGCTGTTCAGAGCCAATCACATCTTTGGGGCTTATGATGTCCCAGTCTTCCATAACAGGACCTACAGTCAAACAGAAAACAGAGAACTTAGCCATCACCTAACCACTAACTTTGATTTAATGCTAACTGAATACAACACACGATGGTCAGACATGCACAAGGAGGTGGAGGAGACAGTGACAACATTCTGAGTTTTACAAGCAGCATCTATATTCCTAAAATCTGTGGAGTTTTGCGGGCGCAGATATCGTATGGGCCTGCTTATCAGGCAATGTATCACTTAACAGTGTTGGGAACGTTACTTTAAAAAGTAATTAGTTATAGTTAGTAGTTACTTTGCTCAAAAAGTAACTGAGTTAGAAACTGAGTTACTGCACTATAAAAGTAACTAATTACCTGGAAAAGTAACTATAGCGTTACTTTTTTTATAAAATGCTCAAATATGTTAAATTGCTTGGACACAATTTAAATGTGAAAAGTCTCACTGACTGACTGTCACCTGTGTGTGCGGAGAAGGAGAGGGATGGAGGGAGCGGAGCTGTGGAAACATCCTGCTGTCCGACATACTATCATGCGTTTAAATAACTTATTAGACGGATATATAAAGAGAAAGGAGACGTTTAGGGAATAAGCCCAAAAAGAAACGCAACCCGCAACTACCAATATTTGTAAGCGACTTTACAAAAAACACAAGCCCACACAGCAACCCTGCTTGTGTGCTTGTGAATACCCGCCCTACACTGCCTCTGGTTGGTTTATGATGAAATTTTCCTCTCCCGAAGCCAATCATCATCATCATCACTTACGTGGTTGTCTCTCCCTCCCTTCCCCCTCACCTGCCCTCACCCAAGACTTTGGAGCTCCGCTGAGAAGGAGCTTGCTTGGGTAAAAGCCGCTTCCGTGAACACAAGTAAAGCCGAGTAACGGCGCATTTTATTGTGAGTAACGGTAACAGCGTTATAACGGGGGAGACAGTAACTTTTTTGATTAGTTGTTACTGAAAAAAGTAGCGCCGTTAGTAACGCCATTTATTTATAACGCCGTTATTCCCATGACTGATCACTACCTCGTGTCCCAATTTTCTTGCAAAATTATGTGTTGTCTTCTTTATATATGAACTCTGTGAGGAACATTCGATGTCACTCATATAAGAAAGTCTTTTACAGTTTAGGTTCACACACAGGGTATATGTCACAAAAGCAATATAGTCTGCAGATGCCATGTTTTCATATTCGCCTCTATGCATGTTTTCTGTAATATATTTATGTTTTGCATTTCTTCCTATAAGCTTTTAGGTTTTGTTAGTTTCTCTGAGGATACACTGGTGTTCTTACTGTCTTCTGAAGGCTTTATGTCCATCTTGAGCTGTAGATATGGTTTGGCTGCACTGACAAAAGCAACATCCAAATCCCAGTCAGACAGCAGAGACAGATACATTTCAGCACCACTCCGATCTCGAGACAGGTAACTGATCCCGAAGTTCCGCTTCCTAATTTGAAAGACAAACAAGAGGACAATGCTGATATACACAATGGGCTATATTCAGTAGCTCAGTCCATAGGGACTTGGGTTGGGAACTGGAGGGTCGTCTGTTCAAGTCCCCGTCCGGAGCAAATATGGAGCGTGGACTGGTGGCTGGAGAGGTGCCAGTTCACCTCCTGGGCACTGCCGAGGTGCCCTTGAGCAAGGCACCGGACCCCCCCAACCGCTTGGGGCGCCTGACCGAGGCAGCCCCCTGACTCTGACGTCTCTCCACAAATTTATCCACTGAAAAAAGAGTGAAAAAATTGAATTTCCCCTATAAAGTCTAAATCTAAAAAAATATATTCATTAGTATGTGTCTAGAAATGTTCTTACTCTGCTCACAAAATGAATGAATGATATGTGCGCACCAACCAATTTTGTTCTCACCCCCCCCCCCCCCCCCCCCCCCCCCCCCCCCCCCCCCCCCCCCCCCCCCCCCCACCACATATGTTAGTGAATCAGAATCAGTGCCTGAAAGCATGGGCTGCAACACCTTCCAGCAAGGCTAGATATCTTTACACCCACTTGGAGACCACTTTTATATACCCTTCATACATGTGCAATTTCACGGCACTAGCAATTAACAGGAGTAGATGACTATGGACCCAGTCATTACAAACAATGAGAACTAAAACTGTTACATTTTAATACGAATATTCGGATATTCTCCATTGTAAGTAACACTTAGCAATTTTTGTCTGTCTTGTTTAAAATTTTTCAGCTATAAGAACTGAGGACAAAAAGACATCCGTTTTTATAGTTTGTTGTATAGTTATTAACAATTTCACATACTGTTTTCTTTTACAGCCTTTTTAATGAATGTGGTTTTAATATACTATGCATTTAGTTAAATGGTGTGTGTTTACACTTTTTAAGACAGCTGAACCTTTATCATTTGTGCATACGCATGGTCTGAGGCAGTTTACATTTATCTGCAGAGTACAAACAAATTCAGGTAAGAAAATATTAGCTCCTTTTACACTACCTGTTCGGGACGGGAATATTGTGCTGTTATGCCGCCTCGCTGTTCTGTATATAATATGTAATTGCGCAATGGGGGGGCAGAGTTGTCTCACCTTTAATCCGCGATGGAAGGTGGTAACAGCCCTGAAAAGGTGTCTGTATAAATAGGGCGGCTAACTTATTAAAAGAAGAACAGCGGCTGTAAATGTCCGTGAATTGTGAAAACAATGAGGTCCAGGAGCTCCTTACCCTCTGAGCAGAGGATGAGATCAGCAGCCATAAAACAGAGACGGTAAAGGATTGTTATTGATATGTTATGTTGCTGTTACTGTTTAGAAAGGGGGGCTGACTAGCTCACCTGGTAGAGAAGGTGCTCCATGTACAAAAGTTTATGGCCTTTATGCAGCTGCACGCTCGAGTCCAACCCATGGCCCTTTGTGGCATGTCAGCCCCTCTCTGTCTCCCCCTTTCAAGCTATATCTCTTATCAAATAAAGGCAAAAAGCCCCAAAAAATATCTGGCCGAAGGTGGTGTATTACATGTGAAGCCTGTCATGCCTCTTTTGATTGCAGGATGCAAGAATGCTGTCTAAAATCACAGATTGGAGCTGAATGATGCTGCCATGTTTTGGTTCTGTGTAAAACTGCAAGGAGGCAAAAAGAAAGGACTTCATAGCAGCTCTATCGTGCCATCTCTGTGTAAAAAGGATATTGATGAATCCTAATTTGTTCCTGATTTGTTCCTAAAACGTTCGTATGCACGGTTTAAACACATATTTGTGTGTACACACTATTTGTGAATGAGGCCCAATGTGTCTACACAACATTTAAGCCAGGGTGATCATTCTTACCCATTCAAGTCAAAGGCTCTGATAAGTATGTGCTGCAGGACTTCCAGTGATGTTATCTGAGGATCAACAGCAAAAGAGCGAAACTCCACAGGAAGCACCCCGTCACATTTCTGAAAAAAGCATTACATTGGAAAAAAAAGATGATACTGTGAGAAAAACATGGAGGGAGGTGGTGACATACATACTGCTTTTAGCAGACAGTATTCAAGAATTGATGCGCTGCACTGGACAACTGTTCATTACCAGAGTTGAGTCTACATGCTGAGATTTTAAGTATATTTCAACTACCCCTCTGTACTGTTCAAATGTACTTTATAATCAGTACGCTGACTGTTTATAGTAGAGCTGGCTGCTGTGGTTGAAATAATTATTAAAATTTAATAAATATTTTAATCTATGGCAAATTTATAAAAACACAAAATAACAGCACTGGTGTTCAGAGCACATCTCCGTGTTCTACTGTTGTGTGCGTGATTGTTTATTTGGCTGACAGAGATGTATAGATGATACAAGTATATGTTTATATTAGGGATGCACCGAAATGAAAATTTGTGGCCAAAGCCGAATAAAATTAAATGCTTGGCCGAATACCGAATACCGTTGTTTAGTTTTTCATTAGTTTTTGCAGATGAACCCCCTCCAGATTAGTGTTGTCACGGTACCAAAATTGGGACCCACGGTACGATACCAGTGAAAGTATCACGGTTCTGAGTAGTATCACGATACCACAGCGAAAATGAGGCAAATGTTTCTTTTGTCATTTATAAAAAGATAAATACCTTTTCTATAGTACGTCAATGATATTTCAATGGAATAAATTACTTATTGACTTATTCATCCTTCAAAAACAGCATCAATAAGTGATTAACATAGGGGGGATCAAAATAAAAATAAATAAATGAAATAAAAATCAACCAGCCACCCTCCTCCCCTGACAAGTCCCTTCATAAGTAAAGAACAGTCCCCAAAGTGCGGTGAGGTTTGTGGGCCGTTACCTGCCACAAAGAGTAATGTGAACGGCTCGTTTCTCCTCTGACACGTCACATACCTGTGTACCGCCATGGCTCGGCTGTCCAGGTACTTTTGGGCAGTCATGACGCCAAAAAGAGGACATTATTGGAGCCGGACTTGTCCGTCATCGGTAAGCCTTATCTTGCGCCGCGGAGGACTATGGCTGCCGTATTGCTGCTGCTGGTTGAAATCTGTACTTACACAGCGTGCTGAATGATTTATTTTGCTTGCACAAAACTGTTTTTAGTCGCAAATGCAAGTGCGGTGACAGACGGAGTAAAATATCGCGACACTGCCGACATTTTACTCCGTCCGTCACTGCACGCTGTTTGATTGCGTTATCAAAACACGCCGCTATTATTCGGCCTTGCTTTTCACTTATTCCACTGAATACTGAATGTGTGGTTTTTTTCAATATTCGGCTGAATATATTCGGTAACTGAATATATTCAGTTACCGAATATATTCGGTGCATCCCTAGTTTATATTATCTTTCACTGCTTGTGGGAATGTAATGTGGTTAACAGTTTTTGAAAGGAGGTTCCTGACATGGCTAACCAGTCAGGCTGCGAGTCACCAGAGGCTCCAAAATACAATATTATCATGATACTTTAGTCACGATACAATATAATTGCAATTGTAAACATATTGCACACCGAGGATTGCAATAAAATATTTTGTGATATATTGCAATTTATTACCTGTTTTAAACTGCAAATTATGTCTCCAAAGGAAAACTTTGCCAACATCTGTTTTATTCAGTAAGATTTTGCAGCAAAATGATCTAGTGGGCTGGAAAAGCAGGCTACCCAAAGTTTAATTTGTATTTGCATTGTTAATAATCTATGCAATTAAAAAAAAAAAAAAAAA